GAACCTATAGACTGGGAAAAATTTTTTGGCAACAACATATATGACAAGGGTCTAATCTAAAACATATAGAAAACTTAAACACCTCAACAACAAAAAGACAAACAATCCAATCAAAAATTGGGCAAAGGACATGAACACTTTACCAAAGAAGACATTCAGGCAGTTAACAAACACAAGAAGAGATGCTCACAGTCATTACTATTAGAGAGATGCAAATCAAAACTACAATGAGATACCATCTCACCCCTGAAAAAATGGCACTTATCAAAAAAAAAAAAAAAACCAGAAAGCAACAAATACTGTGAGGTTGTGGGGAGATTAGAACTCATACACTGCTTGGGGGATTGTAAAATGGTACAACCACTATGGAAAACAGTATGGCACTTCCTCAAAAAGCTGGAAATAGAAACACTGTATGATCTAGCAATCCCACTCCTAGGTATATATCCAAGAGAAGTAACAGTAGTGACATTAATAGACATATGCACACCAATGTTCACTGAAGCATTATTCACAATAACAAAAAGACGGAAACAACCTGAGTGTCCATCAGTGGATGAACGGATAAACAAAATATGCTACATACACACAATAGAATACTATACATACTATACAATGACAAAGAATAATGATGAGTCTGTGAAAACATCTTACAACATGGAAGAATCTGGAGGACATTGTGCTGAGTGAAATAACTCAATTACAAAAGGACAAATATTATATGATACCATTTTTGTAAAAAGTCAAGAACAGGTTTACAAACAGAAAGTGATGCTCTTTGATGGCTACCATGGGTGGGAGGGGGAAAGACAGAGAATCACTTACTAGATGGCAGACGTGTTAATTCTGGTGAAGGAAAGGCAAAACATAACATGGGGGAAGTTAGTACAACGTGACCAAGGTAAATGAGGACACTGAGAGGTACCCAAGAATAAAGGACAACTACAATAAATGTTATATATAATTCAACAACAGTAATAACCATCAAAAATTTGTGAGTGGTCAAAAAAAAGATCAGATTTACTGGCCTAAAGGAGACTGGAAAGACCTTGAGAGTATGGCCCCCGGACACCGTTTTAGCTCAGTGGTGAAGTTACCTCCGAGGTTCACTGTTCAGCCTGGGAGTGGACAGCCCTGTAAAACCAAATGAGACTGACGAGGTACAGGAGTCCACTGACAAGGGCCAGAGGGCAGAAGGGGACAGGGAAGCTGGTGATAGGGAACACAAGGTTGAGTAAGAATATTGTTGATGTGTTGTGGGATTGTTAACCATTGTCACAGGGCAACATTTGTAGTAGCTGTTAAATGAGAAACTGTTTTGTTCTGTAAGCCTTCATCTTAAGTGAGAATAGCAGCACAATTGGAAGAGCGTAGTCGATGTGACTGAACTCTGTATGTAGAAGTTTTTGAAGCGGTGTATCTTTCGCTATGTGTATTTTCACCAAAAAAAAAAAAAAAAGGTTGAGAATTTAGAGGGTTAATATGTTGTGGGGTTGTTGACCAGTGTCATAGAGCAACATGTGTGCTACTGTTTCATGAGAAACTATTTGTTCTGTAAGCCTTCACCTGAAGTACAATATAAAGAAAAAAAAAAATTTGTGAGTGGTTATACAGGTAGACATGTATGCTACATAGGTGTGGGATGGCATATGGGAGTACATGTATATGCATATATAGGTACAGTTGTGGGCATTTTTATATACATATTTGCATATGCTACATATATATTCACATATATAATAGAGCACACAAGGGGCATAGTTATGGAAACTTCTGAAACATATCCAAACACCTTGTGGGACTGAGATACTGAGTTTGAAGGCTCAGGATCATAGTCTCAGGGCACATCTAGGTCAACTGGCATAATATAGTTCATAAAGATAATATTCTACATCCTAGCTTGGTGAGTAGTGTCTGGGGTCTTAAAAGCTTGTGAGCAGCCATCTAAGATACAACTACTGGTCTCTTCTCATCTGAAGCAAAGGAGAGTTAAGGAAACCAAAGAATCAAGGAAGCAATTAGTCCATGGGACTAATGACCCACATAAACTACAGCCTCCTCTAGCCCTGAGACCAGAAGAACCAGATGGTGCCTGGCTATCACTACCGACAGCTCTGACCAGGGACACGACAGAAGATCCCAGTTAGAATGTGATAAAAATGTAGAACAATACTCGAATTCATAAAAAAAGACCGGACCGAAGGAACCCCCGAGACTATTGCCCTAAGACACCCTTTTAACTTGGAAGTGAAGCCACTCCTGGAGGTCGCCTTTCAGCCAAATAATAGATTGGCCTATACAATAAAGAGTAACACCCATGAGAAAGGTATGCTTTACAACAATCAACCATATGAGACCAAACAGGCAACATCTGCCCAAAATCAAAGATGAGAAAGTAAGGAGGGGCAGGGAAACTGGAGGGATGGAAACAGAGAAGAGACGGTAGAAATGGGGAGAGTGCTGACACATTACAGGGATAGCAATCAATGTCACAAAACAATGTGTGTATGGATTGCTGAATGGGAAACTAATGTGCTTTGTAAACTTTCACCTAAAACACAATAAAATGTTTTTTTTAAAAAGAGCTCTACCACTAGCTGAAAAGTCGGCGCCTTGGGAGACAGGCTTGTCGATTTGCTTCTGAAAGGTCACAAGCCTTGAAAACCCTACGGACCAGTTGTACTCTGCAAACATGGGGTCTCCATGAGTTGGAATCAACTTGATGGCAGTTAGCAACAATTTATACACAGCCTTGGTGCAAGGTACTTTGGTATCTATCATTTATACCATACACTGAACACGTTATTCCACACAGAAACCTTTCCCCTTCCCTTAGCAATCCATCCTCTGTGCACCATTAGTATTACTTTTGGGAGCAGGCCCCAACCTCCATAGTCCCTGCCTTCTCGGTTTTGGCGAGGAAACAAGCAGAGGCAGGTTACTCCTGCAGAATGGTCAAATCATGCTGCAATAGTCACAGGAAACCACTGGCTCAGGTGTGGTTCTGCTACTACAAAAGTAGCATGAATTTTCAAAGATTCCAAGCTACCAGACTTGTCTTCAAACATACACAGTTCCTCAAAGTGTGGGAACCTTGCCAGTTGTTGGAGTGTATGTCTGGAGATGTTATAAGTTGTCTGCTTATTTATCTGATTTCCCAGCTGGACTGTAAGCCTCATGAAATCTAGGTCTCTATGTATCTGGCCCATCTTTAGATCCACATCTTAGACAGTATCTCAAATAAAGGAGGTGTTCAATAAATACTTAATGAATCATCTCCTCAATTCTACTTTCAAGAGGGCATCTGAGCCCCATTAGTAGTTTAAGCATACTAAGCCACAGCAATACAACCTCTTATTTTCAATAAGTCTGTTCCTATGGTGAAGTTAACTGGTATTCTCACTTTTTTTATCCATGTTTTAAAAAAGTAAAAACTAAAAAAAATCAGAAAAGCACATAAACTACTTCTTAGTCTAGTTTGTAGACTTTTTTAAGAGGCTCTAGTATGGTCGTTAAAAGCATACTGTCTGGAGCCAGAATGCCTGGGTCCAAAATGACAGATCTGCCACTTATAAGTGAGGATGGTGAGACTTTGTCTCATGTACTATGGGCATGTTACCAGAAGGGACTAGCCCCTGGAGAAGGACATCATGCTTTGTAAAGTAGAGGCTCAGAAAAGAAGAGGAAGACCCTCAACAAGATGGACTCACACGGTGGCGACAATAATGGGCTCAAACATAGCAATGATTGTGAGGATGATGCAGGACCAGGCAGTGTTTTGTTCTGTTGAACATAGGGTCACTATTAGTTGGAACTGACTTGACAGCACCTAACAACAACAGTCACCTACTGTGTAACCTTGGATAAATTACTTAATCTTTCTCTATCTCCCCATCTGTAAAATGGGGATAACAATAGTACCTACCTCATAAAATTATTGTGAAGAGTTAGTAAGTTAATTCAAGAAAAGAACTTAGAAAAGTACCTGGCACACAACTAACATTTACTGAATATTTACTTTTTCTTTTGCTGATTTTAAAGATATGTTACCAAAAGTTACTATAGGGTTGCTACGAGTCGGAATCGATTCGTTGGCAATGGGTATTTTTGTTTTGTTTTGTACCAAAAGCTGTGTGACAGAAATACTTACAATGACCAAAAAAAAAGAGTAGCTGCTGAGGCTGCTTATGTATACAGCCTCATGGGGTTTGTTTTCATTCCTTGGTTTGGAGGTTTAGAGTCATGGTTTCAGGGCAACATCTCAGATAACTGGCCTAATAATGTGTTTAGTGCTTCTGTTCTACCTCCTAGTTACTTGTGTAGTGCTTGGGGTCTTAAAAGCTTGCAAGTGGCACAACAATGGGTCTCTATTTGCCTGCAGCAACAGAGGAAGAAGGAGAGCCAAGAATAGGAGGAGGATGTGGGGCTAACTGCCTCCATGAACAACTGTCACCTTTGCCCTAAGACCAGAAGAACTGGATGGTGCCCAGGTACCATTACTGAACATTTTGATCAAAGATTCTATAGAAGAATCCTGATCAAAAGGGGAAAAGGCAGAATAGAATTTCAAATTCTCATGGATTCCAGACTTTTCTGAGTCATGGAGGCCGGATAACCCCCTGAAATAACTGCCCTGAGATAATCTTTAAACCTTAAACCAAAAATATCCCCTGAAGTCTTCTTAAAACCAATCAATAGTTTAGCTTAAGTAGTAAAGAATGTCTGCCTTGGGCATGGTGCTTTTTCAAGATCTACCAATATGGGATCAAACTGACAACAGCAACTTGAAAGATTAGATAAGCAACTTAGGGAGCAGTGAATTTATGTTAATGGGGGAGGAACAACTCAGAAACGGAGGGTGAGAATGGATGCACAACTCAAAGAGTGTAATCAGTGTCACTGAATGGTACATGTTGAAACTGTTGAACTGGTGTATGTTTTGCTGTGTATATTCTCAAAAACAACAACAAAAACAGGTGGGAAAAAAAGGATACAGTTACCTTCTGTTTAGTATATATGACAATGGTGACTAAAGACTCTGTTTGGAACCAATCATAGCTGTAAAAATATTAAGAAAAGAATAATTATATTAACAATCATGCTTATTAACATATATTAAATCATTAAATGTTTAAAATTTATAGTGAGAAATATTTCTCTGGGCTAAACTTTTTCTAAATCAACAGTAGTCTTATCATGTTAAGCTCATCATTATATAACTGACAATTATTCCTAAATTTAAAATACCTTATACTTCCGTGTGTTCCAATTTGGATAAAAACAAAAATCCTTGACAAAACACTTTTTATAAAGGTTATACACCTCTTTACTAAAATATTCTTTTATCAGAGCCACAATAGAGCACAACGTATTTTGATAAGGAGCATGATGAAACCTACATGCTTATATCCTTCATTCTTCCTTGTCATAAATATATTACGACTGAAGAAATTAACTCATGAAGGTAGTTTAACAGGTCGATAGTAAAACTTAAGGTGTAACTAAGTCTTCTGTTTTGCTACAGCTGTTGATCAAATTGATACTGCTTTTGCACTTCATACCTAACAGGCACCCACAGGCAAATCCTAGAGGTATCCTCAGGCCCTTAACTTAAAATTGCATATGAAATAATTTAACAGATTTAACACAGCAGGATGCTGCAGTCAGAATCATACAGACTAGCAATGGGGAGAAAGGAGGTAAGAGAAAGAACTACATAGAACACATACACCTGTGAGGGCATTTCAAATGTCATTAACAAAAATATACATGTATTGTTTAATTTACTGTTAACTAAGACAATTCGTGTACAATTCATTTTGGAAGATTTCCACTAAAAATCGATAAAACAAACTAGATATGCAAAAAATACAATAGTTATGGTCATATGACGGAATGTAGACAATAAAAATGTTTTAGCAGAATATTTAATGACATAGGAAATTGCTCATAGGATATACTATGATATTAATATTACAAAAATATAATATGGAAATAGGTATTTTATGAACCAAACTGGAAGAAATAAATCAAACGCTGAGAGTACTTATCTAGGGCTGATGAAACTGAAGTTGATTTTATCACTTCCTTTTGTATTTCTCTGCATCTTCCAAGTTTTCTACCATGAATGTATATTTTATAATCAGAAAAAAATATTTTAAAATATTATTTTAAACTGGTGTTTAAAACAGATTGAACGCCAGTTATACTAAAAATTCACATTTATGGAACAGCTCATTCTCCAATAATGCCTGATAAATGAGGTACTGCAGTTCTTCTGTCAAAGAAACATGATTAATAGTAAGCAATTAATCAAACCTAGAACTATTTTATTTTTTTTAAATGTGTGTATTTTGGTGTAGAACTGATTTAGCTTTAAATAAGTAAAAAATGCATACCTTGGGGAACTAGGGCCTTCTTTAGCAAGTATATCTGTTACTTGGCTCTTAGGAAGCATGCCTTTACAAAGAAAAACAAACAAAAACAGCTATGGCTCATCCACACAGCATTTTTCAGTCTTTTTTTTTCCCCCCAGTAAACTTCTTATTAAAATATCACATACATACACAAGAGGACACAAATCATAAATGTACAACTCAATGAATTTTCATAAAGTAAAGCATATACTTGTAGCCAGCACCCACTTCATGCTCCCTTCTAATCATTATCCTTCCCTCAAGGCCAACCACTATACTTACTTTTAAAATAATCAGTTTTTGCCTATTTTTGATCTTTATATAAATGGAATCATAAGATATGTTCTCTTTTGGGCTGACTTTTTTGGTTCAACATTATAAACATTACAGTTCTATGTCAAACAAGAATGATTAATAATAAGAAATACATCAAAACTAGAGCTTTCTGGGAATTAATCCACACCACTGAATGCATCAGTAATTTGTTTCTTTTTATTACTGAGGAGTATTCCGTTGTATGAATATGCCACAATTTATTCACTCTGTTAATAGACATTTGGATTATTTCCAATTTTAGCTATTATTCATAGTGCTATCAAAATATTCTTGTACCTGTACATGTCATGTACATTCTTAAAGAACATATACTCATTTCTGGTGAGCATATAGGGTACATATATATTTAGCTTTAGTCAGTTCTGCTAAACAGTTTTCCAAAGTGGTTGTACCAATTTTTACTTTTTATTAGTAGTGTACGTAAGTTTTAGTTGCTCCACAACCTCACTAACACATAGTATTGTGCCTTTTTTCATTTTAGTCATTCTTGTGTGCATGCATCACCAGAAAAGTTCACTGTTGTAGATTAAATTATACCCAAGTTCACAAGTCCTGGACCCTGTACCTGTGGATGTGATCCTGTTTGGAAAGAGGGTTCTTCTTTTACTGTGTTAATGAGACTACACCAGAGTAGGGTGGGTCCTAATCCTAACCACTTCTGAGTTATAAAAAGAGCAGAATACACACACACACAGGAAAACAGACGCCAAGGAACACCAAAGAACACCGATTAATGCCAGGAACTACTAGAAGCTCCTGGGGCTACCTACAAAGAAGAACCCTCCCCTAGGGCTGATGCCCTGATTTGGACTTAATAGCCTTCAAAACTGTCAGACATGGAAGAATTCTGAAGATTCTGCGCACATTAAATATTTTCCTCTGACAACAGGAGTGAATTGTTTGTATCTATAAGACTCAGTTTGGGGGAAAAAAAAGTACTGCTGATAAAAGATTCTGAAAATTACTGCATCAGTTATAGTAATATAATTGTGAAGAAAAAAAATTAAATGTTTAGTCTCTGGTGAATCTTGAAGTTTTCAGACTAGAAATCACAGTAATTACATAAAGTCAGAGTTAAGAGACACCTTTGAGACAAGCTAGTTTAGAGGTTATCAAGCTTCTTTCTAGACACAGAACGTTCTCTTTAAGGACAAGCTTAAGAGAACAAGCACAAAACATAAAACAAGCATACTTTTCTGAATGAGGCTGACAGTGAGCCCTAAGGCCTTACCATACTTAACTTTCAGATGAACAAAGGAAGCCCCAGAAATGTGACATAATAAGGCTAAGGTTGTGAACTAACCAGCAGCAGACCCTAAAGAAGAATGCTCAACCACAAAACTGCAGCTATAACAAAATGACAGAACTACAATAATTAAAATGTTTTTTTTTTCAAAATTCCAAAAAGCAAGAAAAAAAACCAAACCCAATGCTATCGAGTTGATTCCAACTCATAGTGACCCTGCAGGACAGAGGAGAGCTGCCCCATAGGGTTTCCAAGAAGCAGATGGTAGATTCGAACTGCCAGCCTTCTGGTTAGCAGCTGAGCTCTCAACCACTTTGCCACCAGGGCTCCAAAAGCAAGAAAAGATGTATCTTATTAAATTATTTGAGAAGTGCTGAAAGATATTTCATTAAGGTATTAACGTCATTTCTCTTTTGGTGGATTCTTAGATATATAAATTTTTTTTAAAAAATCACAATTTAAGAATTTCTATTTTTAAAAAAGCTGTCAACAGAATTCATAAATCATTAGTCAATCTTAATTTTGTTTGACTGATTGCCCACCTGTTGCCATTGAGTCAACTCCAACTCATAGTGACCCTACAGGACAGAGCAGAACTGCTCCATAGGGTTTCCAAAGAGCAGCTGGTGGATTCGAACTCCAGACCTTTTAGTTAGCAGCCTAACGTTTAACCACTGAGCCACCACGGCTCCATAGGATTGATTAAGACCAAAAAATTTAGCTGAGTGTCATCACTGTGATCTTATACCAACCACTGTTTCCTCTTCCTCAAATTCAAACTATTAATGAAAACTGCCCTGTCAGTCTCATGAGAGATCAAATGAAACAATTTCCAAACATTCTGGAACACTATGTAATACCATACAAATATGACTCTTATTAAAACAGAAAAGTCATAGGCAATGGAATGTGTCTTGACTTCAACATTCCTCTCCTCTCCTTCTCCTCCCCCCAAAAGGCTTACATAATATCCTTCTGGATAAGTTGACGAAATCTGGGGTAAACATGGGGTGGAGTAAAATAAGTAAAGCAAGGTGGACTGAATGAACATTCTCCCTCCTCTAAGCGCTGATTGATGGGCTGGTGTCAATTTGAAGGGGCAGGTCTCTAGTGGAATAGCTGTCTACTCAAGTCAGAATTTTAAACAGCTGTTTGATGATATAGACGGCAGGAAGATCATATCTGAAAATACAAAGGCTCACTACAAGTTTAAACGAGCCAGATGTGAGATATACGTATGTATATATAAAACAATCTTATAGATCCAGGTCACAAAAGGTTAACTGCTAGCCAGACCACTTGTGGAGTGCTATGTTCAGTTCTTAAAGCCAACTTTACACTGAGATATTAATTAAATGCAGTGGTCCAAAGATGGGCAACAGAAAAGTAAAGGTTCTGGAAGTAATACGTGATGAGAAAAGAAATGCCCAGTCCATCAGTATTAATCTGTAAAGGAAGATTGTTTGTTTAGTACCATAGAAGAATCAGTCATCAGATTAAGCCTCATTTATGTAATCAGGCCTCATTTAATGCAATGTTATACCATCACACAAACAACCTCAGTTGTTATCACGTATGAAATCAATTAGTCTACAGATTATTTTCTCCAATTAAAAAAAGGTCACTCATTTGGCGATCTAGCTTGTTAGTTGAATTTCTATAACTTTCTTTTGCAAACAAAGAAAAAAAAACTATTTCTACCTTACACTAATACAGTTCAATCAGAGCATCCCCATGCATTTCATATGGGTGAGTATTGACCACCACTCTCCAACTTTTTTTTTCTCGGGGTCGGGGGGGAGGTGTCAGTGTCAGTCATAATTCCAAGTCATACTGAATGACTGAGGAAGCCAAAGCTGTTCAGCCCAAAGAAAAGTAGACTACTAGGCTACTCGGCATCTACATTCGAACATTGGAGGTGAGGCCAAGTGCTGACTGAGTTAACTTGTTCAGTGTTATTTCAGAGGGTGGGACTCCTAATCACTTCAAGCTGAGGGCACTTGTTCAGGGATATCATTAGAAGGAACTACAATATGAGTAACTGCTGGAGTAAGAGACCTACAGACCAAACCCAAAACCCGCTGCCGTCTAGTCAATTCTGACTCATAGCGAACCTATAGGACAGAGTAGAACTGCTCCATAGGGTTTCCAAGGCTGTAAATCTTTAAGGAAGCAGACTGCCACATCTTTCTCCCGCAGAGCAGCTGGTAGGTTTGAACCACCAACCTTTCTGTTAGCAGCAGAGTGCTTTAACCACTGTGCCACCAGGGCTCCCAGAGATCTATAAAGTTCAGTCAAACTGTCTAAGTCTGGGTAAGTATATCTATATATCCCAGCCAATTCTATGAAGCAATATTATACATAATCATGTAAGTATGACTCATTTTTTACTATAAATTTATAAGACTTACCATTTAAGACTTTCTTTTCCTCATGGTAGTCTGTACAGTGATTTAGGAAAAAAAAATTCAAATAAGAATACTATAAAGTCAACAGTATAATAGCAAATATTATTCATTTAAAGATAACAGTCCTTCTCTCTTGAAGGGCTTTTTTCTAAAGCCACGGGAGCACAATAAGGCTAATAAACAGACGACCTTTCTTTCAAACAGGTAATTTTAATCTCTGAAGAATGCCAGGCCATTTCTCCAGGTGTTTGTCTCCCATTTCACTGGGCTTTTTTCTCCTTTGGTCATTATTTACTCACTAATATATTGGTTTATTTCTTTAGAGAGAAGATAAAAACCCAAGTTTTGTCCAAGTTATCATACTTTATATTCATCTACATTAACCAGAATTTATTAGATTACACCTAAAAAATGAAACACATATACATTATATATACACAGACCAAAGAAACGTATCTTATTATCTTTCTCTTTCATTGAGATCAGTACTTAAAATGATCATTGCTACTCCAAGTGTAAATGGTCAAAATGCTGAAAATATGTTAAAACTGTCACATCTTAGTGTTACAACCCACAAAAAATGTAACTGCTATTTTCTTCCAGAATGGCAGATGGCTTACAAATCTACAGTGTATCTTGATATTCACATTATGGTCAAAATAAACACTTTAGCAAGTTATCAGAGTTTAAACGAAAGGAAGGCAGAATGACACGATAACCAAATAGCCAATAGTCAAATTGAAAGACATCACTTGTTAAGCTGACATCACATTGTTGTACAGAAAAAAGAAAAACTAAGGTACTTAAATCAAAGTTTTCAAATAATTTTCTGTATTCTGATTTTTAATCAACCAGAGATCCCATAATTACCCCCACCTCAATCACCTATCACAAAATAACCATTCTTTTTGTTTGTTTTTTCCTGTTTTACTAAAATAACTTAATAGCTGAAAGGGATCTTAACAACACACAACAAATTATCATTTAATCCCCTCATGTGAAGACTGAAAATCAGAGAAATCTACAGCTCTTTCAACAGCAAAGCCAAGGTTACATTTCATCTCCTCTGAAACTCAGCGCCATTTTCCATAATACTCCACTAAAACAAACAACAACAAAAAAACTCGTTGCCTTTGAGTTGACTCCGACTCATAGTGACCCTACAGGATGGAGTATGACTGCCCCATAAGGTTTCCAAAGAGCGGCCGGTGGATTCATACTGCCGACCTTTTGGTTAGCAGCTGAGTTCTTAACCACTGCGCCACCAAGGTTCTAATACACCACCGCTAGAGTGAATATTTCCTGAAAGAACACAGGACCTATGAACTATTTAAATTATACTTTAATATGAGCTTTGTTTATCAACTGACTGATAAAATCTAGTCATTACTGTCTGCAAGAGATCACTGATGTCCCTGGTTGGTCACTTACTTTCATGCAGTCAGTTTCATCTGTCTTTGCTAATGCAGCTGTGATCATCTGTTTTACCTCAGAACAAACAGTAAACTCACAGTAACATAATAAGTTATATCTATTTTCAGTATATAACATAGCTGGCAGTTTGATAAATCTCATTTATCATGCAAAACAATCTGTTTTTTATCTAAAAGGCTCCCAGATTTTGAAAAATTGTTCTAGGAAATTTGTTTCTAGAAGAAAAAAAAAGTTATCTCATATGATTACTTCCTGCCTGACATGAATTTATTTGACTCTATCAGAACTTTACGGATTCAGTTAAATCAATATGTTTTTTCCCTGAGTCTTTTTTAAATACAAGAAGTACTAGTAGGAAGACAACTTCCACTTAAGGGAACTGAACTACCTTCAAAAACTCTACTAGTCTACTTTTGTTAACTCTTTCAAACACTGAGTTGTAGAAATAGAAAAGACTATTTCTTACTCTTAAGTATATTTACATCAGAATAATTTTAATCACATGAGATACTTTCCTTCCTGAAGAGAAATCTGATATTCTGTCTTGATAATTAATTCCATCATTTTGTTGGCTTATGGCCAATAGAATTTCTATCTCCTCATAATGTTGGTTAAACTGCATTACTCTGGTACAAGCCTCTGCTTTCCAGAGGTCACAGAGTCATTTAGAAGGCTAGGGCTGTGATCTATGGGGGATTTGCTCTACTCTCCCTTGGCAAGAGGGCTAAGTGAGGAATTTTAATTGTGACCCCAATCTAGTTTACATCTGGAGTCGCAGGAGGATCACCTGGGATAAAGAAAGTAAGAAAAATCCTGTTTAATTAACAATTATGCTAATTCTTTCAACAAATATCTGTTGATTATCATCCTAATAGAGATAATGACACAATATGAAACCATTTGGAAAAAAAGATAGAAAAATAAGAATATATATTTTCAATTTGCTTATACATGCATACAGATAACTTGGAAAGATTCACAATACAGCTAGTAATGTAATTACCTTCATGTGTGCACGGAAGGGAGAAAAGGGTATATGTGAGACAGGTATGACAAGGGGACTTGTCATTCTTGAATCATGTGAATGCATTACGTATTCAAAAACCTAAATAAACTGGATTAAAAAAAAGCAATATTTTTAATACTGTGCAATAAATGCTGTAAAAATGGTATGTAGAAGGTGTTACAGAAGAACAAAGGAGGGGCATCTTTATTTGGAAGGAATTTGAAAGGACTTCATTGAGAAAGTAATATTTTAGCTGTTTTGAAAATGTGTAGGTATTTGTCCCAGCACACGTCTGTCAGTTTTGTCATACTGTGGTGGCTTGAGAGTTGCTATGATGCTGGAAGCTATGCCACCAGTATTTCATGGTAGACAGGTTTCAGCTGAGCTTCCAGACTAAGACTGACTAGGAATAAGGACTTGGTGGTCAACTTCTGAAAAAACTGGTCAGCAAAACCTTACCAACAGCAGTGGAACAATGTCTCATACAATCTGGGAAGACGAGCCCCTCAGTTTGGAAGGAACTCAAATTACGGCTAGGGAAGAGAAGCCTTCTCAAAGTAGAGCTGACCTTAATGGCGTGGATGGAGTCAAGCTTTCGGATCTACATTTGCTGATGTGGCACAACTCAAAATGAGAAGAAACAGCTGCAACCACCATAAATAATCAAAATGTGAAGTGTACAAAGTATGAATCCAGGAAAATTGAAAGTCATCAAAAATGAAATAGAACTCATAAAAATTGATACCCTAGGCATTAGTGAGCTGAAATGGACTACTACCGGCCATTCTGAATCAGACAATCACATGGTCTACTATGTCAGGAAAGATAAACTGAAGAGGGATGACGCTGCATTTATTGTCAAAAAGAACATTTCAGGAACTATCCTGAAGTACAACGTTGTCAGTGATAGGATAATATCCATCTGCTTACAAGGAAGACCAATTAATACGACTATTATTCAAATTTATGCACCAACTACTAATGCTAAAGATGAGGAAATTAAAGATTTTTACCAACATCTGCAGTCCAAAATTGATCAAATATGCAATCGGGATGCACTGATAATTACTGGTGATTGGAAGGCGAAAGCTGGAAACAAAGGATTGGTAGTTGGAGAATAAGGCCTTGGTGACAGAAGCCACGCTGGAGATTGCTGAGAGAATTCTGCAAGATCAATGACTTACTCATTGCAGATACCTTTTTTCAACAACATAAACAGTGACTACACACGTGAACCTCACCAGATGGAATACAGAGGAATCAAACTGACTACATCTGTGGAAAGAGATGATGGAAAAGCTCAATATCATCAGTCAGAACGAGGCCATGGGCCGACTGCGGAACAGACCATCAATTGCTCATATGCAAGTTTCAGCTGAAGCTGAAGAAAATTAAAACAAGTCCACGAAAACCAAAATACAACTTTGAGTATATCCCACCTGAATTTGGAGACCATCTTTAGAATATATCTGATGCAATGAACACTAATGACCAAAGACCAGGCGAGTTGTGGGATGACATCAAGGGCATCACATATGAAGAAAGCAAAAAGTCATTAAAAGACAGGAAAGAAAGAAAAGGTCAAGATGGATGTCAGAAGAGACCCTGAAACTTGCTTGTGAACTTCCAGTAGCTAAGCGAATAGAAGAAATGAAGTAAAAGAACTGAAGAGATGATTCCAAAGTGTGGTTCAAAAAGACTAGTATTAATAACGAAATGTGCAAAGACCTGGAGTTAGAAAATCAAAACAGAAGAACATGCTCGGCATTTCTCAAGCTGAAAGGACTGAAAAAAAATTCGAGCCTTGAGCTGCAATACTGAAAGATTCTATGGGCAAAATATTGAACAACACAGGAAGCATCAAAGGAAGATGGAAGGAATACACACAGTCACTGTACCAAAAAGAATTGGTTGATGTTCAACCATTGCAGGAGGTAGCACATTATCATGAATCAACGGTATTGAAGGAAGAAGTCCAAGCTGCAATGAAGGAATTAGGGAAAAACAAGGCTCCAAGAATTGACAGAATACCAATTGAGATGTTTCAACAAATGATGAAGCGCTGGAGGTGCTCACTCGTGTATGCCAAGAAATTTGGAAGACAGCTACCTGGCCAAGCGCCAGCAAAAGATCCGTATCTGTGCCCATTCCAAACAAACGTGATCAAACAGAGTGTGTAAATTACTGAACAATATATTAGTATCACACGCAAGTAAAATTTTGCTGAAGATCATTCAAAAGTGTTTGCAGCAGTACATCCACAGGGAACTGCCAGAAATTCAAGCTGGATTCAGAAGAGGACATAGAATGAGGGATGTCACTGCTGATGTCTGATGGATCTTGGCTGAAAGCAGAGAACATCAGAAACATATTTACCTGTGTTTTATTGACTATGCAAAGGCATTCGACTGTATGGATCATAACAAATTATGGATAACATTGGGAAGAATGGGAATTCCAGAACATTTAATTGTGCTCATGAGGAACCTGTACATAGATCAAGAGGTAGCTGTTTGGACAGAACAAGGGGATACTCCTTGGTTTAAAGTAAGGAAATGTGTGCGTTAGGTTTGTATCCTTTCACCATACTTATTCAATCTGTATGCTGAGCAAATAATCCAAGAAACTGGACTATATGAAGAAGAATGGGGCATAAGGATTGGAGGAAGACTCATAAACAACCTGCATTATACAGATGACACAACCTTGCTCGCTTAAA